TCCAAAACACACGCATATCCAGGCAGATTATGTGGAGTTGGTATTTGTTAAAGATGGAGTACGTCCTATATAGATGTAACTAAGATCGATCCTGTTTGGTGTCGGGTAATTCGGAATGATCTGCCCATTAAATACTCAGTGGTATTGCCACCAACGAAGATCAACATATCTTGCGATTACAACTCTCGGGCAATTCTATTAAATCACTGTAAGCATGTATACATGCATAGAATGTTTTTTTAAATATCCCACCTCCAGCCTCACCGTTGTTTCGGAATTCTGTAAATATTTGTATTTAAGCATTCTAATGTCTTGCATAGCCATAGTCTATTTTACTGCCTCAGGTATATTGTGACCATGTCACTGAAACCTATGTGTGTGGGACTGACTGGGTTTTAGAGGAAGATCATCGGAGGCTGAGGCGACGCCATATAACCGCAATCGGCAAGATAACTTTATTTATTTAGTTTACAAGGTGTGAAAGATCTGTCATGTTGAATGCAACCATAGGTAACATATATTCGGAAATATCTGTGCTGTGAGATTTTAATGAAACTTATTGCCCTGTTTTTAATCTATCCTGATCATTTTATAAACCTCACTGCTCTAATGCACCCAAGACCAAGGTGGATAATGTAAGAGAACGAGTGAATGAGTGAGTTTACTTTTACGCTGCTTTTAGTAATATTCTATCAAAATAATGAAGGGGGACACCAGAAATGGGCAGGAAGAGAATGATTTAAATCTCCCTTAAGAATGTCGATTTTAAAGCATAAGCGTGTGTCAGAACAATGAACACACAATGTAATTTAGAAAGTTGACAAATGTGACATTTGTTATATTTGGCATTACACTTTCTCAGTTAAGTAGTTTCTCGTACCTTTATTATGTTGAGTTCCATCCGGAATTCGAACCAACACTCATAGTAAGGCACCGAATCGCCAGCACACAAAGTGAGCGATCTAACCCACTCAGCCGCGGATTGGGTATTCATGCAAATTTGTTTGTTTGATGTCTTTAACGCCGTTACTCACGGGTAAAATGTAGATAATGATTATGATAATGCTGTGCGTAGCTATTCTAGCTATATGACGGCGTCTGTAAATAATCAGGACCAGGCAATCCAGTGATCAACATCATGATCATCGATTAACGCAATTGGAATACGCAATATGAAAATACGAAATGTGTCCTTTACTAAAGATAATATTTCCCCCTTATTTGGCTTAGCTGGACTTAGTAAGGAAACAGAAACTATTCTGTGCCTCCGTATATTTTCAAAAAGCATTTGATACTGTCTGGCGTTTAGGCCTGTGGCAGAATCTATTACAATATAGTGAAATTAGAAAGTATTTTATGGTCATTTATAATATGTACGAAAACAAAAGACCGTATGTTTCATGTAAAGGGTAGTTACACACGCTTTTCCCATGGAAAACACGTGTTAGACAACGGGAAAACCTGTTTACTCTTCTGCTTCTGCAAATTCACGAAAGATTTAGAAGTGAATTCACTGATAGAATTGAAAATGTCAGTACGATATTTTTGCTACTGTATGCAAATGATGCAGCTTTCTTGGCTATAACTATGCAACATGTACAAAACATGTTAGATTCATTCATCAGGCTTAAGGATAATGTATCTTAAACTAAAGTGATGATATTTGGAGGATCAAAAATATCGATTCTCATAAATTCTTAGGTATGACATTGCAAAGGCATTCCACAGTTACTGCTGCAAACAAAATCAAGTAATACATGCAACCAAGGCCATGTACCTTATGTCGTCTCTTGCGATTGGGTTTTGTAAACTCTAGCACAGTAACCTTCTATTTATGGCCGTTCCAAATTGTCGGGGAGATGGTAGTGGAGAGGCTCTCCACTCGTTTGGTTCGTTGCAAGATGCTAAGTTTTACGGTATATCACTTGAGATTCTTGAGATTCATAGGTCTTATAGGTATAACATTTAGATTCATAGGTCTTATAGGTATAACATTTATTTTGCCTAAAGATATTTAATCTCGCTGTCGGTTGTCAACTGCGTGACTGTGGTTCTTCCACGTTTAGCTTGATAACGATGTTAGGATCTACATCGAAACATCGCTCTATGCAATAAATAAAAAGTTGTCATCCATAAAGTTGTATGTTTCATTTTGGTGCTTGGAAAATATATCAAGCATTCAGAATGTTCATCTGCGCTTTCTGAGGTCTTTAACCTCACTCAGAAAAAGTACTCCAAAGTTCTAGGTTTATGGTGAACTTGGCGGATTCTATATACTGAGTCAAAAAAGGAACTTCACAAAATGTAATTTGAAAAATAATAAATAATTTTTCTCTGATGATACATCTTTGTATCCGAAATGGGATCCCTATCTTTCGACTCTAGAAAAACATTAGCAAAACCCACTCAAACCCATCCATTCGTCGTGCAAATGACGTTAGTGCCAAATCAGGTTTTGCACGTGCAGTCGATCACGTGATCTTCGCATCGAAGTTTTCTTCATATGCACGTGTTTGCATTGGCCACAAGAATTGAAAAAAAACACTTTTAAACCACAGTTCTAGCGGTACTTGAAATGCCACGATTGTCAAATGTGCAACGTGAACGTGCCGTTGGCATGTTGCAAGCGGGAAGATCAGTTATTGACGTCGCAAGAGCAATGGGATGCAGCTGTCGTACTGTGTATGACTTGCGAGGTCGTCTACAACAAACTGGCACCACTTCTGATCGCCCATGGTCGGGTCGTCCACGTGTGACGTCACGAGCAGAAGACCGTCAAATCGTCCCACGTCACCTACGTGACAGTCTTCTGCCGGCTACACGAACCAGGGCTGAGATGTTTAGAGGTCGACTGTCCTCACAGACCATTCGAAATCGGTTGCGGGCTGCCAATCTCCATTCTCGACGTCCATATCGTGGGCAATATTGACGCCGTTTCCTCAACGTCAACGTCTGCTGTGGGCCCAACGTCACCTCCGATGGACCCAGAGAGACTGGAATCGAGTCGTCTTTAGCGATGAATCCAGGTTTACCCTCAGATTCGCGGACGGCAGGCATAGAGTCTGGAGACGACGTCGTGAACGGTATGCCCAATGTTGTGTACAGGAAGTCGATTCGGGGGCGGAAGTTGCATGGTGTGGGATGCTTTCTGTGGGAACAACCGTTCCCGACTTCTGGTCATCCGTGGAAACCTCACAGCTGCTGCTTACCGCGACCAGGTGCTCACCCCTGAAATCGTTCCTTTCATGGCGGCTCATGGCCCAGGTCTACAGTTCCAGCATGATAATGCTCGGCCGCATACCGCGATGTTGACACGAAATTTCTTTCAAAACGCTGGAATCAACGTCATGGACTGGCCATCGAGGTCCCCTGACCTTAATCCAATAGAGCACGTTTGGGATGCACTTGGGAGAAGGCTTCGTGGTCTTAGGAACCAACCTCAGAATTTGCAGGAAGTTGGCGCTGCCTTGCAAGAGCAATGGCGCAGAATCTTCAACCACGTGTTCACAAGCATCAGGCAGTCGATGAGGAGACGGTGTTTGGCAGTGGTGAATGCGCGGGGCGGCCATACACGATATTGAACTGAGAAATTTCGCATTTTTATTCTTGTGACTTGACATTCTGTATACCCATGTTTTGGAACGGCGGTGTAGCCTAATGGAACCGATTATGGCACTGTCAGTGTATCGAGTACATCACACAGATCTCAGCAATGAAATAATAACAATTTAACCATCTTACCATCTCTTGTTCTTTTATAGTGCCCTGAAGAAAGAATGTGAAGTTTATTTTTTGACTCAGTATATATACCAAACCTAGAAAGGCATACTATCTGGAAAATAACCCATCAAAACTATCTCTCCTCATCTACAAGCTGCTGTACCAACAACAATATATTGGAAAGATACACACAATTGTTTAACATTTCTTAAAAGTATTTTCAATGATCTTGGACTTATATGTGGCAGTCACAAACTTCTAATAACATTTCGTAAAAACAACCTCAGCGATATCAAGTTACAATTTTGGAGAGCTACGACAGATACTATCTCCAAAGAAACCATGAACAGCGTCTTTAAAATGATTCCTTAAGTTTTGAAAAATACCTAAATCTGCCAAAATGATTTGGCCTGCATTGCTAGAATCATAATCTGCCAATTGAAAGGGACGGGTGTAACACAAATAACAGTAACCAAAAGAAATTACCCACTTTGTAACTGATTTCGGTGATAAATTCCATTACTAATTTATTTCTGTCCAATTTTGGAAAACGACAGACAGCAGCTAATTCAGAAGTATTTTCCCACTGAACCAAATTTCTTCAAAATAAATTTACTTTTTGATAGTCGAAAACTAAGAACTCTACGACAATTATCCAAAATGTGTGAAACCATTTTGTTACTATTTAACACAAACATGTTTCTCGATTGAACATTGTACTCTGATATCTGTTCTCACTGTTTGATGAAGTTGTTGATGCATATAGTGTGCCTGTGCATTAGGATGTGTGACGTAATGTAAAAGTTGTACCTCTAAGGCCACTGAGAGCAGCCCGAGTGGCAAACAATCCCGTAAATCGCCTTTCACGATAATCAAGGGATGCAGAAGGTCAATTCTTCCCCGGATCTGCACGGGTCATTTCGCAAATGTGATATGATTACATCTGACCACCCGATCCCGTTATTTGCCTCTCACGAGAAGCATCAATTCAACGCCGGATCTTCACGGGTTATGCTAGCTGAGGTACCACACGGGCATGTGCGTCTTGGTCTAACTCAATCAGTTTTGAAAATTTCACATAACCTCACCACCACATCAAATATCAAAACGCTGCAATCATATTGATGTTTCAGAATATGTTATGATGCACGATACATATCACGCACTTGCACTGGACATTGATCTAATACGTAATGTACATAGCTGTACATACTACCAGCTAACTAACTAACATACTAACAGATCTACCATAAGAAACTAAAAGGCACATTTTCACTCACCTTTAAGTTGACAACCGCACAGTAGTGATGATTTACTCTGGCCCAGATGCCCCCTCGGTTGATGTCAGCAGTCTACCGTCACGTTCAATGTTTGACATCTGACTGTAGCTGTCATGTCCTGTTTATAATACACGAAACAGTGCAGATATTGATTTTTACAAATTTCGCACTTACAGTGACACAACACATATTTTACTGGCACTTCAGTAATACCGGCGTTATATATACTGTTAATGAAGACACGGTTTATATACACGGTAAGTAATGAGGAAATTACATTTATTATTGTACAAATCGTCTAAATGACTTGTGTCTCATACGTTAATTCTTAGTGGGAACGGGATCGGATGGTCAGGTTCGCTGACTTGGTTGACACATGTCATCGGTTGCCAGTTGCGCAGATCGATGCTCATGCTGTTGATCACTTGATTGTCTCGTCCAGACTTGATTATTTACAGACCGCCGCCATATAGCTGGAATATTGCTGAGCGCGGCGTGAAACTAAATTCACTCACTCACTCTTAATGGGAAATTGTACCTTTAACACCTATCACAATAAATGTTGTAATTCATACTCGTGACACACTTGTATAGTTTTATTCAGTATTGTTTACTCGTACATAACTCTCGGTGGATCGCTAAGAAACCGTTAACTAATGGTGGCAATTACACGAATATCGCCGTTGTCACAACAAATCAGTCACCGCACTGTCGATCTCCATCGGATGCCAATGTGTTGTCTGAACAAATCAATAGCGAAACTCACGTGAGTGATGGAACTGAATGATTGATGATGTGATGATTAAAGTCAACATAGTCTTAGAAGTACCATTCCGAACCTAAATCTTCCAATACTTAGTACAGTGGTATTGGTATTTCAGGACTATATATAGCCTTTTCCGTTTCCCTCTAAAAACATAATATGGGTGAATATATGGGTGAAAAAAGACCGAGGTTTAGTATTTGGTGTCAATGCACTGTGACAGATTTTGAAAGCTATCCATCATGGATCTGTAATATCAATGTATATATGTCATGACGCCTCGTCTTGATGTTGAAGGGTTATATTGAATGCTTGTATAGGCTGTGCAATAAAACGCTTTCATCTACCGCGGACTTATCGGTTACCTGGATCGAAGAGTCACGCCGCATGAAATGTGACTTCCAATACGAACTGTATATAGTTGGAGCTGTATCTTGACATCCCGCTGTAGGTTATGATTGATTCACATATGTGTCGCAATTCCTTGAATGAGTGAGTTTGGTTTAACGCTTCCTTGAACAATATTCCAGTTTGATCATTATCGAAAGGTTTAATATGGGAGAGGAGCCCGAAATGATGCAGGTGCCAGAGAATACGTGTGTGTCTGTCTGTCTGTAGGATGGGGGTGGGGCGTAGTGTGAGCAGGGTGAGAAAAACTGCAAAACCGTGTATGCACACCTGTGTTCACAGCGTCGGGCACTCATATTCTTTATTACCAGACCTTTTACTAGGCTATACGCTCTCACTGAAGGACCACAGACCGCATGCCAACACTCTGTAATACCTAGAAACCATCGATGCACATTAAGTAAACTGCATTGGGCCATTAGACATTGTACACAAGTTTACTTGCCCTTAAAGCATCCGTTCCCTGATTCCATAAAGATAGTTAAACCAGGCGTAACCCGTGGCCTTGTGGTTCATATTTGATTGTGGAAAGGATTGGTAACAATGTGCTTGTTGATAACCATCACTAAATGTCCATGTTTTATAGATATATCCATATCTAATAATAGCGTCAGGCTTTAGTGGTTTCGACAAAAGTAAAAAAAAGTAATTCGGAAGATTTTGCGTTTGGTTACTAATGAATGGCCTGTTAACAATGTTGAAAAAATCCACAGAAAGACTTAGTTATATTAGATTAATTAGTTTAATATACGTCAACCTCATTGCTGAAGGCGCGTTTGTCACAAGCTCATCTATCACTTTCTGGGCGATATACGTATATTTTACTGCTGCTTGAAAGGTTGGACAGGCATATAGAATTACCACTGTATGTTATTCATGAGTTTGTTCCAGTAAGATTACACAACGACCTGTTCATCAACTGAATTAATCACGTTGTACCATTACATATTTTTAGAGACCAAAAAAAAAAACCGATTTCAACTAAGCTTTCAGTTATCCTCACTCATTGTCAAACTCATTGTTACATGTATAATACAAATTACTGTCGTTTCCTGGGCATTTTGCATGTGAATTGAAACACTGTCTATACCAAGGACCGCCTCCGTGGTGTAGTGGTTAGAGCGTCCGCCCGGAGAGCAGAAGGTCGCAGGTTCGATGCCCGACCGCGTCATACCAAAAGACGTTAAAATATGGTACTTGTTGGTCCCTGCCTGGCGCTCGGCAGTAATGGGTACAACAAGGACTGGTCGCCTCGGAGTCAGTATAATGTGTCTGAGTGGGGTATCCATGCTTCACTGCGGCATGGTATCTCAGTGGGCTAGCACTATAAAACCAGCTTCCGTCAGGGCTAGTACAAGCAGCCGCACATACACACACACACTCATGCACGTCGTCATATGAGCGAAATATTTTCAAGCACGACGTTAAACCCAATTTCACCTCACCTGTACCAAGCCAACTAGAGGTTGATGCCACGAACACCATACTAATTTTGAACAGTAATTGGCCCAATTCATCAATCAGAAATATTCACTGCATTGAAAAGTGAATGGGATGATTCTAAATTCGGTTTGGAAGCAAATATGTATGCATGAATATGTCGGTTAGGGAACTGAGAAAAATTATTCTTATGAATATTTGTACATAACAGGGACCAAAGTGATCCCCTGCTCCTGACACACATTTCGTCACTGCCCCACTGTTTCAATAATGGGTCTACTTGAACCATGGCACTCACATTGTTACAGCATCTCTTGCGTCTACCGGTTACCGCATTCCCTGTGCATGGAAAGCAACTGGTGAACTTGGGTTAGATAACAGTAAACATTAACGACTAAGGGTGGTGATAACACAACACATGTCATGACGCCTCAAGATGAAGACTGCTGAAGCTCAGAAAACGCCAACAAAACAGGCATAGTAAGTTCTACAACACATAAATACCCTGGGGTATATCAATAACAATACGGGATAGCATACCAGTCAAAATACGATGTTACTTACGTCTGTTTTGTGTCTCACCACGTGTTCGACCACGTGCTGTTCCATGATGGAGCCTCTTTGTGTTTGTGTCATGTGATCAGTTTCAGGTGGAGGCTTTAATGTAAAAGATTTGAGAGTGAACAAGTTTGTAGAGCTATGTGGGTTTGAACTCAGAACCACCAAAGGTTCAACAGCAGGTATAATTGAAACGAGTAACGCAACCATTAGACCATACAGGACATACAAGAGAGTTTACACAATACAGGAGCATTAACATTTGCTAAAAGGTTTATGCTGGTAACTTTGAAAGCATGTCACCAAGCGATGTATTTATTCGTGTTTTGTTTTCTCACCAACATGATTTGTATACTTCAACAAAGGTCAAGACGTATCTGATTAAATATTTCCTGTAAATGTATATTTTACCGCTGCTTCAAAATTTGTTCTTATTGGGTTTGGTTGAAATAGATTACACAATGACTTTATCCATATTCTATCTATTTCAAAACACTCTTTTTAATCTCATGACCGTTTTGACAAGGTGCTATAAGTAGGATACACATTTCTTCCGGAATTTTCACCATATCGATGGGTATTAATGCCCAATATATTCCTTTGTCATATGTGCTTCATCAAAATGGAAAACACGGGTACAAAACGTTCCTTTGTTTTCATTCGTTATACCAGAGTGTGATTCTGAGCCGCTCCAGTCAACGTTTCAGCAATATAACCACATATGACCTTCACACACTGTTACCATTTGGGCGTTCGAAACCGGGAGGTGGAGATCATGTGCTTTAAATACCAGGTTACGCGGCTATCCATACAGCTGTGACATAATGCTCTGTTGCTGTATCATTACATTTTACCTCTAGATAAGCTATATGTTTCTTCTATTCATCTTGCGTTCCAACGAAATGTACATGCGTTTTTATAGTTCTTATTTTCGGTTCATGGATATCTCGCATGACAACTGAAACGTATTCACGTGAGCACTGAGGTGCTACATGGTTGATGACATATAACAAGACATGAGCAAAACTGTGTGGTTGATAGCATGAGCAAACACAGAAGTGGTTTGTTACATGAGGAAACAAACTATCGGTTACTGGCATGAGGCAACACTATCGGTTACTGGCACGAGGAAACACTATCGGTTACTGGCACGAGGAAACACTATCAGTTACTGGCATGAGGCAACACTATCGGTTACTGGCATGAGGAAACACTATCGGTTACTGGCATGAGGCAACACTATCGGTTACTGGCATGAGGAAACACTATCGGTTACTGGCATGAGGCAACACTATCGGTTACTGGCATGAGGAAACACTATCAGTTACTGGCATGAGGCAACACTATCGGTTACTGTCATGAGGAAACACTATCAGTTACTGGCATGAGGAAACACTATCGGTTACTGTCATGAGGAAACACTATCGGTTACTGGCATGAGGCAACACTATCGGTTACTGGCATGAGGCAACACTATCGGTTACTGTCATGAGGAAACACTATCGGTTACTGGCATGAGGCAACACTATCGGTTACTGTCATGAGGAAACACTATCGGTTACTGGCATGAGGCAACACTATCGGTTACTGTCATGAGGAAACACTATCGGTTACTGGCATGAGGCAACACTATCGGTTACTGGCATGAGGAAACACTATCGGTTACTGTCATGAGGAAACACTATCGGTTACTGGCATGAGGCAACACTATCGGTTACTGGCATGAGGAAAAACGCTATCGGTTACTGGCATGAGGAAACACTATCGGTTACTGGCACGAGGAAACACTATCGGTTACAGGCATGAGGAAACACTATCAGTTACTGGCATGAGGCAACACTATCGGTTACTGTCATGAGGAAACACTATCGGTTACTGGCATGAGGAAACACTATCGGTTACTGGCATGAGGAAACACTATCAGT